TTGAGCCAGGCAGTCCTGGAGAACCAAGATGGTCCTTGGTCAGTCCCTCTTGAGCCCAGCCAAGAGAGCACAACCAAGCCCTCTGGCACAGGAAATCATTTCATCTTTTCTTGCTGCAGACAACTCCTGGGAAGTGCTCAACTCCACAGTTTTGTACCAGGAAATCAAAGCTTGAGCACAAAAAAAAAAAAAAACAAAAAAACCCCTCAACAAACACATAAAAACAAACAACGACTCCACACCAAAAACAAACAAAACCACAACAAAACCCCAAACACCAAAACCAAACAGAACCCAGAAAGCAAACAAACAAACAAAAAGAAAACCAAACAAACAGAACTCCTCCCAAAACCAAACAAATTCTCAAAAAAACACCACAAAACTTCCAAAGAGTGGCAGCAACAAAAGGCAATTTCTAAAGAGTTCCCTTGCAGAGTGGCCCAGGAAAGAGTTCACTCCTGGACATGCTTTGGTCACAGCATAATTAAACCTCATTTTGGGATTGGAGTTTTGTTTTTTTGTTTTTTTTTTCTGATAGCCCAGATGACTCCAACACCTGGAGTCTGAGCAATCCTATGCCTGATAGAGAAAAACTTGAATTTTGGCTACCTGGACCACTTTGATGTTGTCATGAGGAAAAAAAAAAAAAGATCTCCCTTCACACCTGCCCTTATTTAAAGCCTGGACTTTTTTTTTTTCCTGCCTGAAGCCCATTTTTAAATCCTCCATCCTTGAATCTGAAATGTGACCCAGCACATCAAAAGTCCAGCTTTCCCTAAAAATTCTGAACATCTCAGCTTAACAAAAAACAAACAAAACAAAACAGAAAAGGATATAACTAATACCACCATCACAAACATCACTGCTTCAGGGAAATAAGGAAGCCTTTTTTGTTCTGTTTTGAATTGAAGGGAAAACACTTATAAAAAGCCCAGGAGGACACACAAGGAAAGGGAACTTCAGATGCAGAAGAATCCCCAGCAGTTGCATTCCTCATCCCCAAACAATGCACCCCACGGCACTGAGCCCAGACTTGTCATAGCAGAGCACAGTTCCCTTAAATCTTTCAATTAAGATGGCATTTGTAAAATTGCAGGCTTGGAAATTGCTAGGTATTATTCCTAAATTAAAGTCATTGCTCAGAGCCAGAAAGCAGACTTTGATTATCCTGAACAGGGGTCCAAGGCCATAAATGTTTTGCATCACCACTCCCCAATAATTACTCCCTGCAGATCAATTGGGATTTGCATATAATCTAAAAATAACTTTGAACAAACTTAAAGGACTCTCTGGTGCTGCGACACCAGGGATAATCCAAAGCCTGTGCATTTAATCCCCAAAATAGTCAGTGCCCACACAGCAAGGCTCCAGGATGCCTCCAGCTGCTGGGACAAAACCCAGGCTGCTGCCACGTCCAAGAGCTGCTTTTCCTCTGCATGTCCCATGAAAACCAGCTTTGCCAGCCCTCATCCCATCCCCTTTAGCACATTCAGTACCCAGGACATTAAAACAATGTCCCAGAGGCAGAAATTCAAGGCCTGGTTGGACGGGGCCGGGAGCAACCTGGTCTAGTGGAAAGTGTCCCTGCCCACACGCAGATCCCACTAAAGCACATCTGGGTGGAATTTGGCCTTCGGGCCCTCACCTGGAGCGGGCACAGCCTGTGTTCACAAACAGAGCACACACACAATTCCACTTCCCAACACTGTGGGTTGTGAGGGCCTGACACCCATCAGGGGTGTCCAACAGGCTGATTTTCTCCTCAGTTTTACTCTCTGCCTCCAGCCAGGATCATCAAACCCCAAAGAGGCACCTGTGTCCAACCCCAAAAGTCCCTCTACACTCTTTTATTTTACAATAAGGATAGTAAAACACCGGAGCAGTTGCCCAGAAAAAGCTCATCCCTGGAAACCTTCGAGGCCTTGGAGCAACCTGGCCTGGGGGAAGCCCTGCCCGCAGCAGGGCGTGGAACAAGATGGCTTTTCAGTTCCCTCCCAACCCACAGCGCTGTGATTCCATGAAACCTCACTGCCCCACTGCGTCTTTTGGAAGGTGGGTGCCACTCACCGGTGGCCCGGGGAGCCCCCTCGAGGTTGACGTTGACGAAGAAGCGGATGCTGTCGGCGGAGACGATGGTGGAGTTGACGGTGTCGTAGAGCTCCTCGCTGGCCGTCTCCTCCTTTGCCTCGGAGCCATCGTCGGTGTGGCACTTGAGGTACCCTGAGGGAGAGACAGAGAACTGACGGGAGGGCCTCAGGGTGTCCTGGAAGTGCAGGGTGTCCTGGGAGCTCAGGGTGTCCTGGTGCTCCGGGGCGGGGGAAGAGTCGTCGGCCATGGCTGGGAGGCCTCTGGAGCCTCTGAGGGGCTTCGCTGCCACCCACAACCCGCCAGGGCCGGGGGAAGGAAAGGAAGGGACTCCTGCGTGTTTTTGGATGCCCTGCTCACCACCTGGCGCCAAACCCAGCAACAGCACTCTCAGGTAAAAAAAAAAAAGAAGAATACAGGGTGAAAGCTTGACTGGAAACCATAAAAACACCGAGGTCGCGGCCTACCCCGAACCCAGCGCCCTCAGCAGCCGCCTTGTGAGGGCAGCACCCTTCACTGACAACCCGGCAACTTGAAACTGCAGGTGGAAAAATTAAAAAAAAAAAAAAAGTTTCCAAGGAGACACCTGATACAGAGACCCACAGGTCCCCACGGGGCAGAGGAGCAGGTCACCGGAGGTGGCAGCACCCAGAAAGCGAGACAAGTTTCTTAAGTACAGCAGACAACTCCTTAGCCTTTGGCAAGGCTTTAATTAGAGTTTAACCTGGCCCCATCCAAGGGAAAGCTGGTCCCTGCAACATCTCATTACCAAGCAGCTGGAGAACTCTTGTAGCACACTCATGTATCATGTTTAATTAGGAGAATTAGGGACATTATAGAATGTCGATTTTTACATTACCGGGATTATTCAGCAGCCTCTCCTCGTCTTCTGACAAGTCTTTTATGCCTAATTTGAAGCAGGAGGGATATATTTCATTAGCTGGCTTTAAGGCACTACAGTGAAATGAAAAGGGGGAGCTTCAAGGCGGAGGCTTGAATGGAAACTAAAATATTGATGGCTTTTAAAGCCTCACATAAGCAAACGTAGAGGCGGCAGCTGAAAGCAGCACATGTTGTCTCTGAGGGATCCAGCCGACAGTTCCCCACCACAAAACACAAACCAGGGGAGCGAGGCCACAAACAGGAACTCAGTGACACAGGACAGGGGCTGCAGCGCTTCCTGCCACAAGCTGATGGAGCTCAGAGGGTGCAAGGGGCTTCAAAACCTTCAGGTGACTTCCAAACTGCTCATCCAAGGCACGGGAAACCTGCCAACCTCCCTCAGGTTAACCCCTCTCTCCTTCACCTGCCTGCTTGACAGGAATAAACGTGATCTGGCCCCTTCAGAACTGCTCTGAGGGCTTCAAAAAGCCTCCAAGGTGCTGCTGTTCCCATCCAGCAAAGGCACACTTGGGATTCCACATTCCATCCTAGGTTGCTGGTGAAGCTCAGGGTGTGGAACCCTGCACGATGGAAACTTGTCCAAGCACAAAAAGGGGGGTGAGGAGAGTACAGGGAATACCTGAACCACACCTTCCAAGTTTCACAGCACCAGGAGCCCTACACAGCCCTGTGCAAGCAGCTCGATCCCAAATTAAGAGCCAAACTTGGAGTTTGGTTCCTCTAAAATGCACGATGGACACCGTAATCTCTCCTCAAAGCAGAGCCCCCACCACAGCTGACATTCCTCCCAGTGCCAGGAGAGCATGGACAGCCCTGCAGAGACACAACCAGCCTGGGGGAGGCTCAAATCCACGATCCTGGCTTTTCCACCTCACCCAGACCCAGGATTGCAGCCTCAGGGAAGAAGCTGTCACAACAGGTTCTTCTCCATCCTTCCCAGCTGGTGGGGCAGATGGGAGGCACATGAGGGCAAGATGGTCTGAGCACCCATCTCAGAGAATGTGGGTGAGTTTTCCTCACTGTCCTAACACAGATTGGGCAAACGGGGAAAAACCAAGCAGGACAAACTATTGAGCCCACTGAAACTGGTTTGATGAGAATGTGGCAGCGGTGGCTCCTGAAAACAGAGAGGGCTGGAGACAGGAGAAGCAGCCCAGGAGCTGGAAGAAGGGCAAGGGTGGAGTAGGATCAGAGGGTTGGGCAGAGGTCAGCGAGGACTCTGGCAAGGGAAGCATCCTCTGTTCCTCCCTCTTTAGGGGAGGAAAGAGCAGAACAAAAGGCAGCCGAGCCTCGCGTCCCCTGGGCAAGGGACGGACAAAACACTCGCCTTGCAAATAATCCCAAACCTTGGGCTGGACAGGAACTGCCCCCCCCCCGGGCAGGTGTCTGCTTTGTCACTGAACCACCTCAGGGCTTCAAACCCCACTCCTGTTTGGGATCCTTCAGACTACTGTTCCCCACCCCCATTCCACGATGCTCCCTGAGTGCCACCCCCCGCTGCTGGAAGGGCACAGAGGAGCCACAAAGTGACAGCTCCTCCTCTGGAAGCCTGACGGGTGTTCTGCAGAAGTTCCGAGCAGGATCTGGCGGGGGTGGTGCGCGGTTTGTGTAAATACCAGTCACGTTTCCATATGGAAGCGCAGTCACCGTAACATTTCACAGCCTGTGCTGCGAGCAGTTGCTTCAGTGAGGGGGGGGGGCAGAGTTAGATACCTTCTCATTGCCATCAGACAGGCTGGAGAGGAGTTTAGGACCTCCAGATTGGTGCATTCCCATCTCCATCACCGCAGATTGCCGCCTTCAGACGATGGCAGCGTTTGCTCAAGTGCCACGAGCTACGTACCAGGGCAACTCAGAGCCCTGGGCACAGAAAGTGACACTTCAGCCCAAAAATATGGTCTGAAAGCACTGGAGAAAAGAGGTTTGGCTGAGGAGGAGGAGGCCAGAGCTGAGAAGTGAGTTAAGGCTGATTGAGATCAGTGCACCACCAGGAACATGTGGTCAGGACAATCCCGACCCTGCAGGGCCCATCTCATGGCAAAGAGGAATGGAAAAGCATGGGAAGAGCATGAGACCTAAAGCTGCAAGCACCATCCTTCAGGGCTGCAGGAACAAGCCCCACTCTGCAGCCAGAGGCAGTTGATGCTTTTAAGTCTTCCTTTACCTCAGCCCATCCTGTGCAGTACGAAAAAAAGCCATCCCCCCCATCTTATGGAGGTGCTGGGAAGAAAAGAAAAAGAATAAACACGATTCCTCCAGCCACTGCCCTCCAAAGCATCACCCCTTCCCCTCTAACTCATGCCTGGCCCTGCTCTAATATCCCAACATCCATCCAAACCAGGCTCTGGTTGAAAATACATCATCTTTAAGCTCCCTTCCAACCCCAGATCATTCTGTGATTCTATGATTCCATCCACAGCCTCCTCAAACCCACTTCCTCTCCGGGGTCCTGCTGCCATCAGCCCTCTCCCAGCTCTGACAAGGTGCCTGCCCTGCAGCTATCTCGCTGCTGAGCTGGGTTTTAAGAGCCCAGCAGCGACTTGAGCTGCAGCAGAGGTGGCATCACCTCTCCCCCAGCAGCTCTAGTGGCACCTGGCAGCTGCAACCTGGGGTAATGAGAAGCAGCAGAGTGGGAGTCTGCAGGAAGCTCAGCTTCAGCCACATCAGATAACGTTCCCTAGACAAGCTTAATTGCTCCGTGGGAGCTGCAGATTTCTCCTCCCCCCCCAAAAAAAAACCCCACACCTTAATCAGGCTC